TTAAAATGTAACTCCATAAAGTAAGTATAATAGACTTCAACTTCAAAGTACTGGAAACTTTACAGAAAACGTAAAGTAGGTTTTATAAAAGTTGATCGTGGGGATAGTTTCACAGGGTTGGCAGGACATGACTGACAATATTATAACAAATAATTCAAGTATTTGTTGGATGCTAAAAATGAAAATTATTTTTGCCAAAAAATCAGTGCAAATTATATTGGAAAAAAATGCATGGATTGTCATTCTACTTGCATCTAAAAATTCGAACGCTAAAAACATAAGGGTACTCTGAGGTGTAGTTAAAATTTGAACTAGTAGTTAAAGTTAGAACACTTTATGAAATATTTTAGAGAAAAAAACTACAAGATATACATACAAGATATATGTATACTCAGGACATGACAGTACAATAAATAAGTTCTGCAGAAATTATTGAACAACAGGTGTAGTTGTGTAAGCACTAATTTCATTATTTTCATTAGCTCACTAGCAGGTACATGAACTATTTTCTCAACAAATTAAATTACATCGTGTTTATCTTCACTTTATACCTTTATCAAATATGAAATATTTCTGTAATATTAATTTTGAAGTTTCAAGTCCCTCTGGGGATAGTTGAGGCGTTGGAGGCAACTTTAATTGTAGACAGATTTGATTTATTTGAAATTCATGTTTTCATTAGATGAAAATTATTTATTGTATTATTATAGTGGTCTGTCGTATCCCTGCAAGACGTATTTAAAAAAAGAGTAAATGGTAAGAAGGATCTATTCCTTTAAACATAATTTTATTTTATAATATAACAAAATTGGGAGAAGGGGTTAAAAAGTAGCTAACAATATCATGAGATTAATGGACGACCCCTTAGTAAAAAATAATGTTACCATAATTTATCCACAAAGAAGTTCACACACCTTTTTATATTTTTTACTTATATAACTACGTGATATAAAAATTGCCGGTAGTAACGCATGTCCTAGTAACTTATTGTGAATTCCTAACTTAGTGCGACATCAACGTATTGTACGTTATAATATACTCTATCCGTGGGAGCCAGCCTACGGCATAAATCCGAAGACGACGCGTCGACGAGCTACGTTAAGCAAATATTTCATTGTTTATTATCGCGTGAGTGAGGTTCCTGGAGCCCAAACCCCATTGTCCTCTGTTTCTGAGGTGGGTCTATATGGGCGTAAGCGTGGGCTTTCATTTTTCTTTATGGAGGAGGGAGCAAATGAGCAGACGGGTCACCTGATGGACAGTGTCTCAGGAGCCACAAGCGCGTTGCCGGCCTTTGAGGAAGGAATACGCTCTTTTCTTGAAGATTTGAAGGTCGTGTCGGTCCGGAAATACCGCAGATGATAACTTCTTCCACAGACTCGCATGCTTGTTTGCCTACCTATGCCATAACAAAACATTTAAAATGTCTTTCTCCACATGTGTAAGCCTGCGTTAAAAATGAGTACAAAACTAATTTCTAGAATAATACTTCTAAACGAGTAACTTTCATAGCCAAGAACACAAGAAACAGATACAAAAACAACACAACAGTTGTTGTTATCGTTACGTTAAACCTATCGTATACGGTAAACTTTTCCACGTGCAGCCTTTACTGTCAACTAGTATGGACTTCACAATTGTGCAAATGAAGCTCACGACAGTATTCAGGAAAGGCTCAGCGGCTAACGAGCGAGTCGTACCTAAGGCTAAAGTACCTCTAGGCTACTATTGACTTAGGAACGAAAGTTGGGTCAATTTGTATAGCGTTCTATTTTTATGGATATGTAAATTTAAGTATGCGTTTGTTTTATAAATGTTTTATACAGAATTGAAGTCAGAAAAAAAATAGTCATCAATTTTCTTCTAGGAGTTTTATTCAACATTTAGACTACTTTTGCAAAAGGAAACCAAATTATAATATTAATATCTTTATTCAGTCAGAGCTTATGTCTGGTTTACATTTTGCCTTTGTACCTGAACTAGGCTTAACAGGTGTATTTGAGGCAACAGTGCTCTAACATCACAGTATCTATAACACTGAATATGCTTCTTAAAAACTTAATTAAAATATTAACAAATCAAATTGACATTTACTTCATCATCATCAACAGCCTTTACTAGTTCACTGCTGGACATAGGCCTCTCCTTAGAAAGCAGATTTTGGCCTACTACACTTTTACTTTTAAAACATTTACAGACATTTACTTAAAGTTTAAAAATCATGGTATCTTTAATTTCTGTTTTAAATCAACTTAACTGATATAACCATAATGACAACCTGGATTATTATAATGATTGATTTATCTTTTACTTAAGCATTACTACTGTGTTAGCATTCCTTTCTTATAACTGGTGGAAGGTAATCATCTTCCGTAACACGGAAGTTATTCAAATTGGTATTTTTTTTTTATTATGGTATAGGAGACAAAGGCAAAGCCTCTATCAAGCAAGGCCAAAATGCCATTCTCATAGCCGGGCACTGGGACAAAACCGTTCAAGTGTTACCATCGACAAGTTAAAAAAGGAGGTCAAACGAGCAGGCTACTTGATGATAAGTGCCTGCCACTGCCCAAGGACATCTGCAACTCAAAAGTCATAAATAAGTTGCTGCCTTTTGGGTCCCCGATCTCCAGAAGCAAGGGAGGTTTGAGCTCCGGTAACATCACTCGCTCAGTAAAAAACTACGAAAAGATTGTTTGGCACAGCTTTCCTTGCAAGCCCATTTGTGCAGAAGCATAATAACTCTCCCACGGTGGTCATTTCGTAATCCTAATGATTATATTAATATAATTATTTTGAAATATCAGGTCTCTTTTATATGTAAGAGGAGGCGAGCAGACGGGACGGACGATCTGATGGAAAGTGACCTTTGCCGCCCATGAACGTCTGTAACTCAGGAGTCACGAACGCGTTGCCGTCTCTGTTTTCAGTTAAGGAAATACGGTTTCCTTTTACCTAATAGTGTAATAAAGTATTGTTACATAAGTAATAGTGTTGTACTGTAACTTTGTACAATTGAACTTATAAAACTCAAGACTTTAAAAAGTCCTAGAATGTAAAGTATTAAAGAAATTGTATGAAATAAAAACTAGGTCGGCAGTTTTCTTTGCGTCGTACGAGTACTTTCTCAAGAGTCGAATGAATTATAATTTAAAACGGCATAAGTTTTTTTTCCAAAAACGCACACAAACGTTAATAAATCATGATCTGTTTAATTTTGTGTTTTCTAAAATTGGCATTAACTCTCGTTTATGTCAAACCATGTTTTTTACCAGCTATAAATCTATCTCAATGCAAAGTTTTTACTCTATTTGATAATGAATTATGAATTCCAAGGAATTATTACACATCGCAATTTTTTTTAGACAATTTAAAAAGTATGAAGCATTGAGAACCTGAGGTGCTATATTAATGTACCTTATCTTTGTGAGAACGGAGTATTTTACAACTTAAAGCAACTTATATCTATATCTGATTCAAGATAATCTAACTATTGAAACCCGATTATAAACCTCACTTAGTAATCTAGGCGTACCTCAAAACCATTTAGATTTGATTACCATAGAATGTTAGGAGTTAAATGGTAACTTTGGAATACAATAAAGGCTTACTAGGCTTTTGATAGAGCATTAGTATGTATAAGTAGAAATGGTTAAACTGAAGAGAAGTAAGTCTTAAGCAGTTATCGGTATTATTTGCTATTAATAGTGCAGACTGTAAAATCTTTGGTGTGCTAAATTTGGTGCGTGTTATGACTGTTACATAAAATAATATCATTTCAAACATTTCTTTATGTTGTAATATGTGGAAAGAATAAAACAAATCGTGGGAAATTATAAGCACATATGGGTCCGGCTCGACCAGAGCTATACCACGGCCGAACAGAAACTTTTCGCGGAGTGAATGAAGCCACTGGAGGCCACATACCCCCATTTCTCCAATTCTGAATAGACCCTTAAAAGGCAACACACTCGTGTCTCTTAAGTTCCATGGGCGCTAATAGTAGCCTACCATAGGGCGACCTGTCTGTTCGTTGGCCCCCAAGTTAACAATAAAAGATAAAGTTTTTTAAGTAATGGAAGATAGCAACTTTGCGATGCTTTGATACGGCATTATTCTTCAATGAGAAGGGCTCTGACATGCCATATTATCCATGAGAGGGGATCTTTTCGTTACGACAGCGCTTACATCAGTCGCATTTATTAGCGCTTGGGTCAATATATCCCCAACTTGACAGATTATCCTTAGGTCTGCTAACCTGAGAACGCAGCCTATTGAACGCCTTCCAGGTTGGCAATGGGAGTTTATGTCCTGGAGATGGTTTATGTTTTTAAACCAATCCATTCATATATTTCTCCTCTTTCTTTCTATAAGTAACATTGTTTCTAATTTCTGTTATTTCTAAGAGACGCATGAACCGCAACGATTGAATGGAATGGAAATAAACAAACAATTTTTAGGTTTGAAATAAACAATTTTTAATTTAATTTATAAATCACTCATAAGTTAACTTAGATTTAATTACTAAATTATTGAAAGTGATTTGTGTTCGTATTTAAAAAATGCATGAACGTTTCTGGCCATAATTTTTAAACACTTACGTAAAAGCGAGCAAGTCTGTTGCACACAATACGTCACTTTAGGAATTAGATGGAAATATCAGGAATTTAATATGCAAGGAAAAGTTGGTAAGATGGAATAGAAATAATGGGATATTCCTTATAGAGATAGGTTGGGGAGTGTAAGTAATTGTTCGAGTGGTTCAGGGCTTAGGTAGTCAAATTCAAAAACCTAAATTTATTGTTAGAGACATGAACTTCATCATATATATTTCTTATCCATTTATATGCCTTCATCTGAAATTTTACACTATCAATTTCTAATAACATGATCAAATCAAATATAAAGGTTACACTCAGTTTTAGCTACCATTTAATATTGTTGTTCATTAATTCTATTTATTTTCCTATGTTCATAAAAAGTATCATCTCTTGTTCCAGGATGGTTCGAGCAAGCTGCCTGTTAGCAAGCTGTGTGCTGATCGCTCTCCTCCTCGTTGTACCAGCATCTGCTTACCCGAGGTAGTGGTACAATATCTAACTTACGACACTAGATAAACAGTATTATAAATTTCAAGGCAACATATATATAATCTTAACTTGATCAAACTTTTGAATGGTATATTTTGAAAATTACAGTCCCAGCAACTACTACCGTGACGATGTCCAATACGAACCCGAAGAGATCATGGATATGCTGAATCGCCTCGGAAACCTCATCCAGATTGAACGCAAAATGGAAAAGTAAGTTTTATGAACATGACAAACTTAAATATTTCTCATTAAATAGAATACGAACTTGACTCATAAATAATATAATTTCTTTTTCTCATTCATCATTAAAAGCTGAGGACTTACCATGATACAATAAACAAATATCTTAGATACGGACATGGGAACCAAAGAAAATAGATATAATATATGTACATACTTGCTTTGTTCTGTTCCTTTCAGAACTCATTCACATACGATGATGATGATGATTTGACCTAAAAATATTTTGAAAATTGATTTATTATCTAGATTTAGAAACTAAATAAGTTTTATTGGCAGATAAGAAGAAAATTGGCTGCAGTTTAAATAAATACGATTCGAATGATTTTTTGTTATTCATCGTAACTCATGCTAAGAAGAATGTTAGATTTATGATTTTGAGGAACTCACCGCAGAGATGCTACAGTATCATGAGTGTGTATACACACGAGATACTGTAGTTTTATTGACTATTATGGACACATGATATTGACATGGGTATTATGGACACATCAAGAAATATACTTTTTTAAATCATTTGTTTGTGTATATACACACATGATACTGTAGTTTTATTGACTATTATGGACATATATTATTGACATGGGTATTATGGACACATCAAGAAATATACTATTTTAAATCATTTGTTCTTTGAATAACGTGCTTTGTTGTCAAATCAACGACTAATATGATTGCACACTTCTAAGTTATTCACTAATATCTATACTCCTAGTATGAATTCTTATAGTTTATATTAACAATGAATTTTACCGAAGTTTTCCATTTATAACATCTAATCCAGCCTCCATTTTTGGGATAGACTGGCTTCTACTGAGAAGTCAACGCCACTTTTCTAGATTTCAACTGTAAAAACTCATATTGGGGGTACAATAATCATTTTCTTTGTTTTCTTTTCCTGTCTCTCTTCACGTTATGCACGATTCGATCGATTTGTGTTTTTATAAATTTTAAAAACCTCTTCTGGCAAACATTGATTGAATGGTTGCTGAATTTACTCTTAAATTGCCATCTTCGAATACACTTTTACAACTTAGTCATTTGAATTGAATGCAATTTATTCTTCTAATATTAAACAAAAGTATTTGTATCCAGAAGGTAATAAAAATCAATTACAATTTGTTAATAAAATGAATATTTACTCAACTTATTTCTTCTATAGTGTAACATTTGTTTTTGTTTTTTTCAGCTACAAAGACGACATTACCAGGTACGTCCCTGGCGTCGTCTTCACAAAATGTAGAATAGATTGCTTGTTTTGTTTACATTTATTCTGCATGTTTTACATTTGCAGTGTGATGTAAATCACTCCATTTCTTTAGAAATATAATTATTTATGGTATTATTTTAGCTATTACCTAGCTAGCTTCTTTATTGCTATCTTGCATGATTACCTTTCTGAAATTTACCTTTTGATGTATGCGTAACCAGTAGTAATAATTTTATTATTTCATTATTAGAACTTGGATTTGCAGAAAAAGAAATTAAACATTAGTTAAAGGAGTTCAGTTTATTATTGCTTTTAAAATTTGATAAAAAGAAAGTAAAAAGCAACAAACGTAATAACATAAAAAACGGTGCACCGTTAAGTAATACACAAGATATTTAGACTTTGTTTTGAAAAATAATAGCTGGGAATCAATATCAAACTAATTAATTATTCCTATCTAATATGGATTTCTATTCCTTCCTTACATCATATTTTACCATTAAATACATTTGCATTAAGTCATAAAATATATGAATAATAGGAATGAATGAAAACGCATGAATATTGAGAAACATTTCTACTCGAACCGAATTTCCCTTCACGGTAGTGCCGATACTAGAGTCCTGTTTAGAATTGTTGTCCATGAATATTTATCTATAAACTTATTTTGTACTTCTTAATATTTGGATAAACCTGGAATTCTGCAGCTAATTTACACGTTACCTTATTTACAATATTTTTAACTCATTTTGTAAATAATCATGTATTTTTAGATTAGCCTGCACTAGATTAGAAAGCATGGAGCAAAATATTTAAAAGATTATTGGAAGAAAAACTTTGAGTAAACAATTACCTAATATTGATGTTCTTTGCAGCGAGAAGCGAGCCCTTGATCTTGGCCTGAGCCGTGGATACTCTGGTACACTTCAAGCCAAACACCTTATGGGACTTGCTGCTGCTAACTACGCTGGTGGCCCCGGAAGGAGGCGACGAGATGCCAACTAAATCTAGACTATAACCACTTAAATGCTGCACTGGGATGGATTTACAAAACATCAATATTATATATATAATAATCCCCGCTAAACTGCAGTAGAATAAAAAAGAATCACTTACCACTTGCTCGATACAATTAAGTCATCCATAGAAATAATATTCTTCAACTTTATTCAAATTTAATGCTTGAAGTTATATAAATGTTATAATTATAGTGTCACTAACGAAATAGAATATTTTGAATAACCGAATACCTTTTCGCGGGCTTGAAATTAAATTGTTTTATTGGTTTAAAATATTTATACAATTATACATAAATGGAAACAATCCTCAAAGAGTTCAATGTACTTGAAATTACCAAAAATCATCTCTTACCTATTGAAAGATTCAATCATTTAAATTTCTTTATGACAATTTTATTAATAATGTCCATTTATGTATATATTTGACACAATTTGTAATGTATTCTAGTCATTTCTAGTCATTTAAATAATCGATGCATAACTTGTTCCATTTCGGTGTCAGTATTCCTAAAGTATTTCTACAGAATAATAATCTTTATTTCAAATTGTAAGATTTAATCATGAAATTCTGTCTTGAAACGCTTACTATTTATTGTAAATTAGAACACCTATCAATATTTTTAAAGAAATCCCAGCTATATGGTTAGTATCTGTGCTATTAGATTCAATGTTAAAATCCTATGTATGTACGTGGAAACTTATTTAGTAATTAGATAAAAGTTAAGTGATAAATACCTCCTGTCTAGAGTTTATTGTTAAAAATAAAGAGATATTCATATTTATATAAACGTGTTTACATTTAACTCTTCATAATATATCAATATTATAAAAATCAGAACAATATCACTTCTACTACAATTTATACGCCTTTTTAATAAAGTCCTTGCTTTCGATGATTTCTTAACTAAAATCATACCAGAATAAAACTCGTACTGAAGTCTACTGAAAAATAAAAATGCCATCTATAGATTTGAGTAAGAACTTTAATAAAGAAGGTACTACTGGTGACATCTGTTGGTACATAATGAAACTAAATATTTCTTGCTACAACTTGCTTAGAACTTACTTACTTAATGCTAATGATACATACTAGAGGTCGCTACGTACCCTAAATAACACGTATTTCAATAGGCATGTTCGTGATAATATCCAATCTAATGTAATAATCAAGTATTAAGCATATTATGACAATGATCTAGTTTTAAATATAATATTTGAAATAATTATAATTTACTTTAGATCACAAGTAAAGTTATTTAGGCAGGTTAAAATCAATCATGTCTGAATTCGGAAGTTAAAACAACTTCCCTTTTCATTGCTTTTAATATATTATTATCTAACATTTCAAAATAGTAACTAAGCTATGTGTTCATATCACTAAGAAATGGTTTAATAAACCTAACATAATTGTATGACATATACTATACTTTTAACATGAATTATAACATCCCGTATGGTCTAGTGGCTAGGATACCTGGCTTTCACCCAGGAGGCTCGGGTTCGATTCCCGGTACGGGAAATCTCGCTTTTTGTCCACATTACTTTTACTTTTTAATTTTGCTATATACCTTAACTTGTAGCTAAACTTCCTCACGTTTTATTTGTAACTTACATTATGAATTTTAGCTTTCTACACAAATTCGTACATTATTTTTTTGAGTAAGTTTGTCTTCAGGTTTTTTTTTTAACTTCTTATATACTTATATACTTTTGTGTTCTTACATACTTTACCTTGCCTAAATCTTTTTTTAAAATCTTCTAACTCATTCACACATAGTCGTCACTCAAGCTAGAGAACACTGTCAATAAAGGCAGCACTGGTAAATAAAAGCAACAATAACCAATTAAACTTGAACTCTGAAGCGAGCAATTCCCTCCAAACACACCTTGCTTAGTAGCACGCTTGCGGCATAGGGGAGGTCATATTAAAATGGAGACACTAGTAGGGTGTTTTGTGTATTCGGATGGATGCCCATTCGTTTTTTCAACATGGCTGCTATAAGTATTTTTAGATGCAGTGTATTTAAGTGGTCGCAGTTGCCAAGGTGTTACACGGTAGGTGAAAACATTACTGTGAATTGAACATTAACTGAACATAAAATGTCGTCGGAATAGTTTTGCACTTTTCCTATTCTACTAACTATGTAAGAGCAATGGCCTCCCGATGACTTGTCACTGATACAAATGTCGTCGAACTGTTACAAAGACTTGCAACAGTTTGGTAAACGGTAGGTACATTTTAAAATTGTAAGAAAATTATATATTTAATTTTCCAGGTATGGTAATGTTGTTGATATATCCATTGTTGACCTATATTAATATATTGACAGTCTATTGACACTGTGTGTTAGTAGAATACTCAAATTTTGACCGATGTCAATGGCGTCTCAGTGACATGTCAATAGCGTGTCAATGGAATGACAGTGGCTTGGCGTTAACATAAAATAGGAGAATTGAGACCCAGGTGGATGGGTCGAAGAATTCAGATTTCAACTGGTCTTTATGGAAGCCGTTAAAAACGGATTATATTCAGTGGTCGATGTCCGAATCGAAAATTGAGGTTTGTTACTAAGTTTTATTTAATTAATTTAACTTAAGAAAGTTACAATAACTTCAGAAGATCAATACACTCTCTTTAACGACAAAATCCATTATACTACTCGTATAAGTTATTTAGTACCTGGATGCTTAGCTTAGTACGGTATTTTTTTTGTAAAATTTTCTAAAAATGAAACCTAGCTAGATCGATTAATCGTCCCCGATGCAGGTTGTCTGCATACTAAATTTCATGAAAATCGTTGGCGCCGTTTCCAAGGTTAAGGTTATTTAAATATATTAACAAGAATTGCTCGTTTAAAGGTATTAGATACACATAAAATTAAATGCCCTGATTAACTGACTTATTCATAAACCCAGGATCTAAGCCGCTGGGGCTACAAACGTGAAATTTTGGCCGCTGATGCTTTTTATGTTGTAAGCACCCACTAAGAAAAGATTTTTGGAAAATTCACCCCTAAAGGGGTAAAATAAGGAATGAACGGTTGTATGGAAGTTTGCCATGTTCAAACTTTGAATGGCAAAACAGGAAATAATCATCGTTGGCAATAGCTAGTCGGTCATAAGTTTCTTGGTAGTGTATGGTACGGTAATGTCTCTTTCTAAAATAAAATGTCACATTTATTGCAACACAACAAATATTTATTGCCATTTGAATTGTCTCAAACCCTTATCCTAAAGAATACTCAGGGATAAGTTATTAGTGCACTCCGAAAGTTTACTTTAGACTAATAGAAACGCCAAATTTATCGCCTTGTACTGAAACAAAAGAGAGTAATATCGATCCAGGCCGTTCACCGTCTTTTTATACTTGTTTAACTTCGAAATGCTCTTTATATAAATATTTTTACGGGAATTAACGCACTCATGAGAGGTATTAAGTACATGGTTTTGAAATGTCTGACGTAACTTTGAAGTGCGGCTGAGTGAAGAAACCACGAGTTAGAAACCTGTGACCACGGCTAGTGCAACCTGGTCGAAACGTCAGGCATTGCAAACCTAATACCTGTACTTAATACCTATTGTGTATACACGTAAATATAATTGTATATTATTGTATATCATATTTTATATTATATATTTTTTAAAGATGTAAGTATGTCACACTTATGTAACTTAATCAATTATGTTTTGAATACCTAAGCTGCTGTCATCTACATATGAGTATAACATTTACTGTTATGAATTATTTAAAGGATTAATTTCAAACAACTCATATCAAAAGGTGACGAGATGCCCTCTCATAACTCGTAAAGGTCAGATATGAATAAATTTCATGTGGTTCACTAAAACCTGTACAAATTATAATTGTATTACCTTTTAAAGGTCATCTTAGCTACCCTTATTATCTAAGTCTATACATGGACAAACCCCCATACATTAACAATATCATTCATCATCATCACCATCATCAGCCTATCTTAGCCCACTGCTGGACATAGGCCTCTCCAATTGCATGGCTCCTGCCAGCCACCTTGCGTAAATCATCACTCCATCTGGCCTGTGGGCGTCATAAACTGCGTACGAATGAAGGAGTAAAGAATCGCCGGGGATGTCATTACTTTCATAAAATTGTACATCATCATCATCAACAGCCTTTACTCATACATAGGACATAGGCCTCTCCACAGAAAGGATTTTTTGGCCTACTATACCACGCTGGCCAGAAGGTTTGGTATAGGGTTTGTTTCAAGTTTTCCATCTCTTTGCAGTGTGGTTGTTCAGCGTAGTTTACTCCGTTAGTCGGCTCTTACGACACCCTGGAGATGAATAGGGGTGGTGACACTCAGTATTCTTAATCCGTCACCACACGGATAATGTACATTATACTCCATACGATGTCTTTCGCATACCAACTGCCACAAAACATTACATCTAAATAAGCTAACTTTAATTAACTTGTAAAAAAAGTCAGTATCACTTTTAATTCAATACGCATACGTCATGATGAATTAAACTATATTCTATATTTCTTTATTTTCATCCTCAAGGGTGGTATTTTTTCTTTCAAGTTTGAAAAATAATTATAATAATATTTCGACAACTAACATACAACGCCATCTAGTTTCAAACTAAGCAGAGCTTGTAATATGAAAGCTAGACTGACTTATAGAACACTTATGTATGTTTTTTGTAAATACATACATATTATACATAGAGAACACCCAAAATCCAAAACAAATATTTACAGATCATACAAAGATTAGAAATAGGACTAATTGAGAAGATTACTTTTTTAAATAAAACATGTTTTTTCTCAATCAATTTATAAATGACGGTTCTGACCAACAAACATGAATCAAATACACCCGAATTAACATACTCCTCTTTTTTTGTAATCGATAAAAATAAATTGAGACATCTCACACACGGCCGTCAAACTAGACAGGGCCTGCACTATGGTAACCAGACTGCTGATAAACATACTTA